CCGAGGTTTTTAACCCCAACCCCCCCCCCCCAGCTCTTTGGCTTGAGCTGCTTTAAAGAACACAGGAAACCACAAGATTGTCACAATGTGAATACATTACGACTCCACACATGTACTTGATGTAAATAGACGATCAACACACATCAACTATGACTGGAGATGGCTGTCACAGTAATCAGACGTGTGAATGTGAGTCTCTCCCGAGTGTGAAATGAAAAGTTCAGACAGCTGTGTTTGCCTTGGCAGGGTCAGGGGTCGGGGATCAGAGTACAGCAATCCAACAGGATCTCTATGTATCTAGGTGAACGGCAACGAGCCGCGTGGGGGCTGTAACACAGGGACACGACAAGAACAAATCTAACGCTGAACTCCGGGCTGGTATACAAGACACAGCTCGGTAATCATTCATTTCAAATTCAAGCCATGTAAATTAGTAAATTCCATCTGGTGTCAGCCTGTGCTGCAGTGCTAACAAGGGGCGTGCTGACAGGAGAAGAGTGCGGAGTGATGGAGAGATGAGCTTATCAGTCTGCTACTTCTCCATTTACTGTCCAGTCAAAGGCTGGGGGAGGGGGTGGACAAGAGCTGTAAGTGTTACCTAAACGCAGCAGAGGAAGTCTCTTGCCAGACATGGCTGTGCTTTGGGGCAGAGCCGTGTAAATCTCAGGATTGGATAACTAGCAATGCAGATCGTGTGTCATGTCATTCAATCGATGCGTCTGTGTATTATCTGTTGGCCTGGAAATAAATGGAAATCAACATCTATATTTCTTTAAATCTGAACTCCTGGCAAACAGATAATACTCGCATGCAATATTCATTGTGATTTTTGCTGTGAAAGTCAAGCATTGCCCCGCCCTCTTTTGCCTCTCAAGCTGCCCTTTGTAATGTGATTGGTGGTCTCGTTGACCACGAAGGAGGCTGTTTTCTTTTTCTGTGTAAGTTCCATTTGGCATCTATGCCTCCCCTTTCTTTATTTGTCATTGAGACCTCCTTTGTAGTACAGGGAATGGGCGGGGCAGAGCTTGACTCTTCCCTGAAAAGTCAGATTTTACATACAACTTCAGCTGCCTATGTGACTGGATCTGCTGATCATTTGCGCATGAAGGTAACCCGGTTCTGCATTTATTTGTATTGTGATCAGATTGAATGGCCCAGGTTTGCTTTAAAAATGGCTTCTTTTGGGTTAAATGGCTCCTGAATGTGACATTGTTCCGCCCCCACTGCAAGTTTACATGTGACGACCTTCATGTGCAATGCATAACATTGTGTATTGGACGTGATCAACTTCAATGCTTCTTGTATGAATGGCGTTCTATAGCGAGGACTCATCTATCCATGCCCCCCCCCTCTCCTGAATCATCTGCTCTGACCCACTTTGCTGGCACACTGACCTTGACGCATGCAGCTCGGCTCTGATGACAGATGTGCTGCGGGAATGCCACAGCAGATCCCACAAACATCCCTTTCCATAAACAAGCCACAGGCTTTCCTGAGCCCAACACATGGAGACCCCACCGTACCGATACAATCATCCAATCATGTAATTTTGGTAGCTAGTGGTTGACTGTTGAGCGGTAATAAGCATCCAGTGATTAAAAATCGGTGGAGGCGACTCTAAATTCTGAAGCATGCTGGGAAATGGCTAAAATGTAAGCTCGTGAGCTGCTAAAAATCGGGAAGCTCTTGAGATTCCCAACTTAAACGTATAGCTGAAACCTTTTTCTCCTTTTTGTTTTGTTTTTCATGTAGGGTTGTGAATAGGAAACTAGAGAAGAGTCCCAGACGGTGCACCAAAAATGTCGAAGTCCAAGAGCTCGGAGACCGTGAGGGTGGTGGTGCGGTGCCGGCCTATGAACAGCAAGGAAACCGCAGCCGGTTTCCACAAAGTGGTTGACGTGGACGTGAAGCTCGGGCAAGTGTCGGTGAAGATTCAGAAAGGGGCCAGCAACGAGTTGCCGAAGACGTTCACTTTCGACGCCGTATACGACTATAACTCGAAGCAGGTGGAGCTCTACGATGAGACCTTCAGACCGTTGGTGGATTCCGTCTTGTTAGGCTTTAACGGAACCATCTTTGCCTATGGACAGACGGGAACTGGGAAGACTTTCACCATGGAGGGACTGCGAGGTGATCCTGAAAAGAGGGGCGTGATACCGAATTCTTTCGAGCACATCTTCACCCACATATCCCGTTCCCAGAATCAACAGTATTTGGTGAGGGCTTCTTATTTGGAGATCTACCAGGAGGAGATCCGAGACCTTCTTTCCAAAGATCAGTCGAAACGTCTAGAACTTAAAGAAAGACCAGACACTGGTATCTATGTCAAGGACCTGTCCTCTTTTGTCACAAAGAGCGTGAAGGAAATAGAACACGTCATGAATGTTGGCAACCAGAACCGCTCCGTGGGCGCCACCAACATGAATGAACACAGCTCCCGTTCTCACGCCATCTTCATGATCACCATCGAGTGCAGCGAGATCGGTTTGGATGGCGAGAACCACATCCGTGTAGGAAAACTCAATCTGGTAGACTTGGCTGGAAGCGAACGCCAAACAAAGACTGGCGCCCAAGGCGAACGGCTAAAAGAGGCGACAAAAATTAATTTGTCTCTCTCGGCCCTAGGAAATGTTATATCGGCCCTCGTGGACGGCAGAAGCACCCACATTCCCTACCGAGATTCCAAACTTACTAGGTTACTGCAGGACTCATTGGGTGGCAATGCCAAGACGGTTATGGTGGCCAATATTGGACCGGCCTCCTATAACGTGGAGGAGTCCCTGACAACGCTACGCTACGCCAATCGTGCCAAAAACATCAAGAACAAGCCTAGAGTGAATGAAGATCCCAAGGACGCCTTACTACGGGAGTTCCAGGAGGAGATCGCAAGGCTGAAAGCACAGCTTGAGAAGAGGGTGGTGGTGAAAAGACATAGGAGGGGCAGGAGAAGGCCTGGAGTGGATGGAGCAGGAGATGAGGAGGAGGAGGAGGAGGAAGAAGGGGAATCTTATGATGGAGAAGAAGATGGTGACGACAAAGATTACTGGCGGGAACAGCAGGAGAAGCTCGAGACTGAGAAGAAGGCCATTGTTGAAAATAACAGTTTGGTGGCCGAGGAGAAACAGAAGCTTTTGAAGGAGAAAGAGAAAAAAATGGACGACTTACGAAGAGAAAAAGAAGCGATGGAAATGCTGTCGGCTAAAGTCAAGGTAAACCTAACCACGGTCATCGGGCATGACGGGGCTCCTAAAAGTGTGTTCAGGCAAAAGATCTTTCTATAAACGTATAGACTTAGACCAACTTAGTGTGCAGGATTATGGATAAGGAGGGACGAGGTTGGAAAGATGCCTCTGGAGCCAACCTATCTTGAGCGCAATTAACTGGGGAGATCAAACCTGGCCAATGGAGAAGGCTTGGCATTAGATCGCCATTAATTAACCGTCAGGACATTATCTAATGCATAGGGCCATCGCCTCAATCCACCATTTGCTGTCTAGTCCGATCAGTTTTCATTATACATAGGATATAGATGACAAGCCTATGGGGAATCTGTTCACCTAAAGGTTCCAGAACTCTCAGTCCTTTGTTGGGTAAGGCAGGAGAATTTAAAATCCCATCTTGATGACTTCTTGAATAGAGAACAGAATGCTGATTGGACTGTTGAAACAGCAACTGTTAGAAGAGAAGATTGAGTAGACTTTCTTTACTTTCTGAAAATGACTAGTTACAGAGCTGCCTCTTCCCATATAAAAATGTGTCTTAGCTTAGAGACTGGGCTACGGTGTCTTTTATGGGAGATCCCTCCTACAATCTAGTTCAGTCAAAGAGGTAAAAAGATGAGATGTCAGTCAGGAGAGCAGTGGAGAGGTTGACCAGTGACCCCCAAGTTTGTAGCTGGGAGGATGTAGATCTTCTAGGAGGCTTAAAGAAGGTTAGATATGACAGTAATCAGGAATGCCCAAAAGTGGACGCTATCGGAGCACCTCGAGCTTCCACTTAAGCCAACTGTATAGATGAAGGCAGCTTGTGAAAGCATTTCATGAATCAGGGACTGGGTACCCTTTATAAAGTCACAAGTCCTCTTTACAGCTCAGTTCTGGTCAGGTGTTTTTCAACAATAAACATCCAGGACTATTTGGCCTGACCGTAATCCCTCGGATCCATTCGATCTGACTGTAATGTCTCTGATCCATTTGGTCTGACCATAAGGTCTCAGATCCATTTGGTCTGACCATAAGGTCTCAGATCCATTCGATCTGTCCGTAATGCCTCGGATCCGTTCGGTCTGTCCGTAATACCTCGGATCCATTTGGTCTGACCGCAAGGTCTCGGATCCATTTGGTCTGACCGCAAGGTCTCGGATCCATTCGGTCTGACCGTAATGCCTCGGATCCATTCGGTCTGACCGTAATGGACTATTGTGTACCCTTGCACAGTATTCATATTAATAATATTCAATTTTTTCAGGCTATGGAGAGCAAGCTTCTTGTTGGGGGTAAAAACATTGTTGATCACACCAATGAACAACAGAAGATCCTTGAGCAGAAGAGGAAAGAAATTGCTGAACAGGCAAGTGACAGGTGTCTTTTGAAGTTCACATTTTTCCTTTGTTACATCTTCAGTATATTGCCAATATATACAAAATATAAAAAAAGAAATGAGTGGGAAACCATCTTTAGCCGCTTCAGCTCGTAGGCTGGCCATACACGATTCATTTCTGTGATTCGGCCATCAGGGTGTATGGGGGATCCCCCTTCCACCCTGATCGGCCACAGTCACTGTTCCGTCTAGGATTTAGAGGCCGACTCCTTTAACAGACGTTGATCAGAAAAATGACTTTTGTTGAACAACCGAATGCCAACGGGGCCACACACTGCTTGAATTTCAGCTGAGTCATCAGGGCTCGGACAAAATTCCATCAGTGCATGGCCAGCTTCATATCTTTATACTCCTCATGCACCAGCAGCCTTAAAAATAAGGGTTCCAAAGGAACATGGGTGTAAACTAGGGATGCACCAATACCGAGTAGTTGGGCGAGTACTCGGTCAGAAGGAGATCTTCTTCTAACCGACAGTGCAGAGGGAGCATGGAGCCGGCTTCTTGAATGGAAGGGTGAGTTATGACCTGCCTCCTGTCTTCCTGATTGGCTAGGAAGCCGGCTTCATGTGATGCTAAGCAGCCTGGCTTCCTAACCAATCAGGAAACTTGAGTGGCACGTAATGACCTGATTGGTCAGGAAGCCAGGCTGCCTAGGAACAAGTGAAGCCGGCTTCCTAGCCAATCAGGAGCCGGGAGGTCATGACCTGCTTCCTGATTTGCTAGGAAGCCAGCATCATGTGTTGTTAACAAGCTTAGCTTCCTGAACAATCGGGAAACCGGACAGCACCTCATGACTCGCCGAACCCGGCTTCGTGATTGGTCAGGATGCCAGGCAGCCTCTGAAGCCGATGTTCTTTCTCTAGAACACCCACTTCACAGGCCTTAATGTAAACTGATAATCTGTAACCCATGAGAAAGCAAGAAAAGCAAATAAAGTGCAAAACTTTCCTTTTGTTCTGCAATACCACCGTTTCTATATCCTTCTTCTGCTAGTCATGTGACAAAAGGCCACGACGTGGGTCACATGGTCTCTGCCAATGGAGCTTAGTGTATTAAGGCAGAACCAACCCCTTTAGAGGATCCATGTCAACACCGATCCTTTTCTTTGCAAGGAACCTTGTAATGATTGTCATGGTGCCGCACTAGAACAGTTAAAGGGCAAAGGTCATTAATTCCCCCTCTTTAGCTTTTCTTAATGTGCTGACACATACTTTTTGTATAACCATCTACTTTAAAACACACGTGCAGATATGGTTCTTCTTCTTTTGTGTAAGCCGAACTTTAAAGTTCGTTCTTTATAAAAATGAGATTGCAGCTGGCGGTCTAATGTTTATGTCGGTCTCATAGAAACGACGAGAGCGAGAAATGCAGCAACAGATGGAGAGCCGGGATGAAGAGACTTTGGAGCTGAAGGAGACTTACAGTTCATTGCAGCAGGAGGTCGATATCAAGACCAAGAAATTGAAAAAGGTAAATTCTGGAAGCAATTATAATATGCCTTGTTCCTTAATAATAACCATCACTTTGGAAAGGAGGAAAACAAGAAAATGTATCTCATGCTAGGTCCTCACTGTGACACCAGACTCTCCACAACCTTCCCCTTGGCCATAAACTGATTGTCTTTCCAGTCAAGCCATTAACTGGAAAGACATTTGGGTTGTGGTCATGGACTTCACTTGCAGCCATCGGCAACCCGTCTTTACTATCTGTATCATCTTCCTTTCCCAGCTGTTTTCCAAGCTGCAGGCAGTGAAAGCGGAGATCCACGACCTGCAGGAGGAACACATAAAAGAGCGCCAAGAACTGGAGCAGACGCAGAACGAGCTCACCCGAGAGCTGAAGTTAAAGTAAGCACTTAGGGTAGAACATGCTACGCTCATAGATCAATGCTGGATCCTAGAGAGACACAGAAGAGTGACGGAGGAAAAAGAACAAGCGCTCCATCTAGTCTACTAAGTCTACCCCTTGTTTTTTTTATCTTTATGTCAGAGTATAGACCTATGGTTGTCCCCAGCATGTTTAAATTCTCTTACTGTTGACTGACTCTCTACCTTTCCTTGGAATCGTTTCCAAACATTAACTACTTCTTCTGTACAATAATACTTTCTAAGGTTAAATTTGAACATTCCTCCTGCTAGTTTAAGGTCATGATCTCCGTTTCATATTGAAAATTCTGCCCTCCTTATTCACATACTTCATTGATTTAAAGGTTATAGTGAATAGGTAAAGTGATAAGAAAGATCTATATAGAGGAACCAGGACCTCTTTCCTCCTGCTGGAGATCTCTCTAGTGATAATAAATATCTATATAGAGGAATCAGGACCTCCTTCCCCCTGCTGGGGATCCCTCTAGTGATAAGAAAGATCTATATAGAGGAACCAGGACCTCTTTCCTCCTGCTGGGGATCCCTCTAGTGATAATAAAGATCTATATAGAGGAATCAGGACCTCCTTCATCCTGCTGGGGATCCCTCTAGTGATAAGTAAGGCTCTATATAGAGGAATCAGGACCTCCTTCCTCTTGCTGGGGACCCCTCTAGTGATAATAGGGATCTATATAGAGTAATCAGGACCTCCTTCCTCCTGCTGGGGATCCCTCTAGTGATAATAAAGATCTATATAGAGGGATCAGGACCTCCTTCCTCCTGCTGGCGATCCCTCTAGTGATAATAAAGATCTATATAGAGGGATCAGGACCTCCTTCCTCCTGCTGGCGATCCCTCTAGTGATAATAAAGATCTATATAGAGGGATCAGGACCTCCTTCCTCCTGCTGGCGATCCCTCTAGTGATAATAAAGATCTATATAGAGGGATCAGGACCTCCTTCCTCCTGCTGGAGATCCCTCTAGTGATAACTAAAGATCTATATAGAGGAATCAGGACCTCCTTCCTCCTGAGGGGATCCCTCTAGATATAATAAAGATCTATATAGAGGAATTAGGACCTCCTGCTGGGGATCCCTCTAGTGATAAAAAAGATCTATATAGAGGGATCAGGACCTCCTTCCTCCTGCTGGAGATCCCTCTAGTGATAACTAAAGATCTATATAGAGGAATCAGGACATCCTTCCTCCTGCTGGAGATCCCATTTTGCAATGATCTGAAATAAGCACCCCCAAATCTTTTTTTTTTCCTCCTGTAGTTCTAGCTGACACTGTACCCCCAATATTGTACTCTATCAGAGGATTCTTTTCCCCTTGGAAACAATGAACTGCAGTTTCCTGCTCCTGGCATAACGATTTCTTGTGTTGCAGGCACCTCATCATTGAGAACTTTATTCCTATGGAAGAGAAAAATAAGATGATGAACCGCTGCTATCATGAAGAGGAGGAGGATCAGTGGAAGCTCCATCCAATCACCAGGCTGGAGTAAGTATTGGATACCCGTGCATATTGGTGATTGGTATTGTGCCTTCTGCTGTGGTTTTATGATAGATGACGGCACCATGCCGCTGGTCTCGTTTTCTGTGCAGGGTTATTGGCACGGTCTTGAGCATTCACATTTGTCTGACCCTTTTGGTTTGGTTTAGATTGCAGTCAGGAGAGGTCACCTAGTTAAAAAGTTGGACTAAAACAAATTAAAAATGAATCCATCCTCAGAAAAGCAACCGGAATGTTCCTCTGGTCTCGTTTTGTTATTTGGGATGGTTTCAAAAGGTTTGCACAGACATTGTACTGATCTGAGCATTACATTTATGGCACATCTTGTCCTTTCACTGTCTAGTAACCAGCAGATGATGAGACGATCCGTGTCCGCCATTGGCTACAAGAGACCGTTGAGTCGTCACGCAAGAATGACGATGATGGTCAAGCCCGATCCTCGATACAGGGTAAGTCGGGAAGCCTAAAAAAGACACTTGTCCGCCAATTTCTGTCGAATGTGAAAAATCAATAAAGAGTACCTTATGAAAAAAAAGAAGGCCGGTCAGAGATCGAAGGACTAGTCACCTGCATTGGCTGTGGACCTCCTAATGCTCATTATTGACTTACCATGCCTTCCCTCTATGTGGAGGCCATCTTGGTAGAGGCAGGGTTGGCTTTCTCATATCACCGTCCAGTAAGGAGAACAGTGAGTAGCACAACACCAATCCACACTCTAAATCTCAGATTTGCAGTCACCATGTCACACTGTAGGTATATATATCTCTGAGGCTGTAGGCACGGGAGGTCCTGGGCACCTTCACATAGACATGTGCGATTTGTTTCGTTCCGAATCGAAATTCGGACGAATTTTCGGACATTCGGATGTATCCGAATTACAGACATAACGAATGCAAACGAATCCGAATTTCCATTTCCGAAATTCGGTAGCGTTCGCACGAACGTTCGTTTCGTTTTCTGTTCTTATTCGTTTCTTATTCGTTTCGTTCGTTGGAGCAAAGTGACATTAGAGAAGGAGAAAAATATTTTTTCCCCCTCAAATGTCACTTTGCTGCAAACGAACGAAACGAATCAGAAACGAATAAGAACAGAAAACGAAACGAACGTTCGTGCGAACGCTACCGAATTTCGTCCGAATTCCGAATTGACTTTCACACCCGAATCCCGAAAAACGAAATAACACAAATCCGAATTTCAAACGAAACGAAACGAATTTTTTGGCAGTGCACATGTCTACCTTCACATACTGGGAAGTGAGCTGCTATTTTTCAGGAGGAAGGTCTATTTTCAGGGAACTGCTTAGGCACAATCCACACAAAAACATGCAAAATGTCTTCACCTTTTCAGGCCGAAAACATTGTCCTTCTGGAGCTGGATATGCCAAGTCGTACGACTCGGGATTATGAAGGACCGGCAGTGGCCCCCAAAGTCCAGGCCGCACTGGAAGCTGCTCTTCAGGATGAAGATGACATCCAAGTTGACGCCTCGACATTTGAAAGCATGGCCAGTAAAAAGTGTAAAGCCAGGTAATTATCCGATGCAGGTCTGATGGAAGAAGTTTCACAAGGGGTGTGAATGGAGGATACTGCGGGGTAAAGTATGTTGGGTAGGTGGGATAAGAATGATGGCGTCGTCCAAGATCTATAGGACGCCACAAGACCTTCAAGTAAACATCACTTTTGTGTGGACTGGTTGGGTGGACTGGTTCTATGGACTGGTTGGGTGGACTGGTTCTATGGACTGGTTGGGTGGACTGGCTCTATGGACTGCTTGGGTGGGACTGGTTCTATGGACTGCTTGGGTGGACTGGTTCTATGGACTGCTTGGGAGGACTGGTTGATTATAATAATCTCTTTCTGGTCTTTCCAGGCCTAAGACTGGACGGCGGACTGGCACTTCCCCCAGCCCCTCTGGGTCTTCGCACTTCCCCCAATCAAGGGGCCTAGTTCCAAAGTAGGTCTGAGACCAGAACCGGTTCCGTGGACTCGTGACATGAAGTATTAGGACGGACTAACTAGATGGATGAACTTTACACCCGTAACATGAAGAAGACCCGACTCCATGTCCTCCATGGAGGAGGCGACGGTGGCCTACACTAACCAAACTGTAGGAATGGATTTTTCGATGCTGGAATCACTTGCGCCCTCTCAGGCCAAGAGTAGAACTTTGGCGGGTCCGGATAACAAACGTAAGTGACGGTAATTACGTCTGGTACCTAGCGAGTTCTCAAGACACGACAACCCTCCGCCGGGCTTTCTCTGGCCTAAAACTGTGTGGATAGCGTGCAGGCCGTCGGCTTAAAGTGCACACGAGGGAGTCGGCCATGTTGTATCCTATAACCTAACTCTGATGTCGCTGCGTCTTAGTCTGCTGATCGGCTGTACGTCAGCCATGCACATAACATGGCCGCCTCCCTCTTGTGCAGAACGGCCTGTACGCTTGAAAACTTTATCGACAAACGGAAGAAGAGTTTTACCGCTAGATACAACATGGAGTGTGGTATGTACACCCCCTAATGTGTTTACATACAAACTCCGCTCTCTGCACTGATCTCTGTACCCTAACCTGCGTTTCTCTGTATTTATATCATTTTTTATGACTTAGATGTATATTTAGTCTTCTTTTATAATGTACAATTATTGTTTTTTACTGCGCAAGTTACCGATCAGAGTTTAAGTTTGTCCGCCATTGGCAGATATAAAATAAACGTTTTGGGTTAGAACTCCTGTTGAGTATATATTTGCCGCTGGGGAGATTTCCTTTTAATGCCCAAATTTAGGTAAAATGAAATAAAGGCAACTCTGGGTGCAATACCCGCCCCCTCTCTGCACGCTGTCCCCCCTGCGGGGTTCCATTGCCGCTACTCATCAGGGTTGAATTGCGCCCTGTAGGAATGCACCCATACTAGTATCGGAGTATTTGGGCAAGATACCTTCCCCGATAGCTGAACTTCCAGTCAGAGGAAGATTTCCTATGACCGGCAGTGTCGTAGGGGAACACGGAGCCGGCTTCCTGGGCAATCAGGAAGTTGGGCGGCAAGTAATGAATCGCCTCCCGGCTTCTTGATTGCCCGGGAAGCCGGCTTCATGCCGATTGCCCGGGAAGTCGGCTTCCCGGTCAATCAGCATCGAGGCGGCCGAACAGCTGGCTCGATTGTTGATTGGCTGGGAAGACTGCTTTCCAGCCAATCTGCATGGAGCTGGCTCCGCTTGCCAATTAGGAAGCCAGGAGGTGGGTCATTACTCGCCGCCCAGCTTTCTGATTGCCCGGGAAGCTGGCTCCATGCTGATTGGCTGGCAAGCCTGCTTCCCAACCAATCAGCATCAAGCTGGCCAAACATGGAGCCGACTTCCCGGGAAATCAGGAAGCTGGGCGGCGTGTCATTACCCGCTGCCTGACTTCCTGGGAAGCCGGCTCCATGCCAGTGGAAGCATTGGTACTCGGTATCTGCGAATACCCACAGCAAAATATCAGTACTCGATCCTGAAAAACCGCTATCGGCGCATCCCTGGCGCCCAGTGTTATATAACCCACTTTCTGTGCGTCCAAGGGTGTCAGGTTTCTATATTTCAGATGCACCATGGGAGGGGTATTTAGCCAATTTGTCCATTCATTGTTCCCGCCCCTTTCCTTCCCAACCCACTTATACCCCTTTCCTGCAGTTCACTTGCTGTACTTCCGGGTTTGTGGGAGCACGTGACCTCCTCCCAGCATGCAATGCTCAGGCCTCAGACACTTCATATAATTAGACTGCCCCTGATAACTTCCGGTCACTGTTCATAATCGGATACTGGTAGGTTGGGCTCCTGATCAGGTGGCCACCGTGACCGCCAATCAGAAACCCGGGATACTCCTCCAGCTTTCCTTAAAGGGCCAGCAGCACCCAGCCATGAGGGAAATGACCCCTTATGGAAATTGTTTTGATATAAATGCGCAGTGTGAATGTTCTTTTATCTGCATATAACGGACAGACAAAAAGGCTGCTTGGATCCCACAAAGGGCGCGGACATTTTCTCTCAACGCTCCCATGGCTTTTTATATTTCTTTTGCCATACACACAGAGATCCTTCTCATGTAAGATAGTGATCAGTAGACCAGTCCTGGAGCAGATATAACCGAGTCCGCCCTCTGGTTTTGGCTGATTGGGAGTGTTCATGTCCTGAGCAGACACCTCTTGCCAGCCTCCCAGGAGGGAACAATGGTGATTGGCTGGAAATTTCCATGTCGGGCAATTGATCCTCCCCCTGAGCTCAGAAGGCGAGGAAGTGTGTGTGTAGAGCTTGCTGCTCCAGCCATATGGTTTCGGATTGGCTGGGGAAAGGTTTTCATTGGCGCCCAGTGTCCTGAATGAGGAGATTTTTCTCACTTCCTGTCAGCACAGGAAGTGATGAAATTCTCTCCAAAAGCAGCACATGCCAAAACTACAAGTCCCATGAGGCATGGCAAGGCTCTGATAGCCACACACATGACTCCCAGAGAGCCTCCCCGCAACTGGAGTGCCCAGGTTGCCGACCCCTGGATAAGAAGATCTAACCATGCTTTATTGCTAGATGTGCTCTCCTGTTCTGGTGACAAAGCCCTCCCCCATTTCTTGTACGGGTGTCACCCCAACAGGAAGTGAGAAAATCTGCTAAACTGTGTCACTTGCAGAAATAACTCTTCCCCAGTCTCTCCAGAACTTATAACTAAAAGACTTAAAGGGCCACAAACGTAGTCATTAGCTGGACCCATCATAACAAAGGATCGGCCAACCATTGTCTCACATCTGGGGGCACTTCAGGGCACCGTGCAGCCCACGACGGTGGTCACAGAGTCCTTCATGTAGTCGGCCATTTTGCTGCTCTTTACTGTGAATGCACACTGTCGTTGAATGTCTCCATTGTCACACGGCACTTGCTTGTTCCCCAATCCGCTCTTCGTGTGTGTGTGTGTGTCCCCACTCCCCGCATGGTTTTACTCTTGCGCATAAGTTGAAGCCTGGAGGAGCGACGTTACAGGGAGGTGTGGCGCGCCTCCCTCCTCGGCCTTACACGAAGAAGCCATATACGCTGCAAATTTTCTACAATGCTACGCCGCAGCGTGGTGGCCACTTCCCATCCAGGAGTAAGAAGCAGGAGGGAGATCTATTTATTTGTACTTTTGTCTATTGGTGAATGTAAATCGAAATAAAATCTCTTTACTGCACGCCATCTTTATTTCCCGACACGGGGACCTACGAGTCTGACTTTAAGGGGACCTCCAATGGAATAGGAACCACTGCGCATACGTTTGGTTGTCTTTATACGTCTTGGTACATGTAGCCTGAAATGTTTTTACTTTGTAAGTTGCTGCTAAATACCTGCTGAGCAAAATGACCTCCAGAAGCAGATGAGTATTGGTGCGGTGCCCCTGGGATCACTAGAGGATGCCGCGCCGACACATGGTGTGCCTGGATCGCCGTAGTCAGTTTTGCAGCCACGCCCACTTTCTGCAGTGTCCTGTCAGCTATGAATGGAGGAGGAAAGCCACACCTACTACAGCCCCGCTTCTCCTCTGGCAGGCATTATCACTGAGGATGGGACGGGGGGCCACACCCACTACCATCCTGCCTCTAATCTGATTGGTAAGCATTACCACTGCTGGCTGGAGGGCCACACCTACTACAGCCCCGCTTCTCCTCTGACAGGCATTATCACCAAGGAAGGGACAGGGGGGGCCACACCCACTACCATCCTGCCTCTAATCTGATTGGTAAGCATCACCACTGCTGGCTGGAGGGCCACACCCACTACCATCCTGCCTCTAATCTGATAGGTAAGCATTACCACTGCTGGCTGGAGGGCCACACCTACTACTGCCCCCCCTGATTAATGGGCATTACCACTGGGGATGCAGCTGGAGGGCCACACCTACTACAGCCCCGCCTCTCCTTTGATTAATGGGCATCACCCCTATGGATGGGGCTGGGGGGCCACACCTAGTACATCCCCCACCTCTCCTCTGATAGATGGGCATTACCATTGTGGATGGGGCTGGAGGGCCACACCTACTACAGCCCTGCCTCTCCTCTGATTGATGGGCTGGAGGGCCACACCCACTACAGCCCCGCATCTCCTCTGATTGATGGGCATTGGCAGCAGTATCAGGATTGGCCCCAATGAATTCTCTAAAGGAAATTAAAAAAGTTTCATTGCTGACGCCACAGTTGCCCTCATCAAACATGGTGCACGCCCTCCTCACAGTCCATGTCTCCGCCAGTGACAGGAGTGGTAGCCATTCCACTGGGGACACGTGATGTAATATACAACAAACATGCCCCCCTTTCTCTGCTATGAGGAGGAAGGATGGGAATCAGGCTGTGTGGTCATGTGACCACCAAAAGTAAAGTTATTTTTGTGGTCATTTTATTTAAAGGAAAAAGTCTATATCTACGCTCCGTCCATCCCTCCTCCTCAGAGAATGACACCCAGTGCCATTCAACCCACTTCTTGGGAGCTCGGGTTGTCATGGACACACCCCCTCCAAGGGGCAGTGTCATCAAGTGAACTTGAACTAACAGCACAAAGGCATCAACAGCCACACCATTCTGTACCGCCTATTGTTGGAGAAGAGGACTCGGGTGTCATGTGACCAACCCAAAAAAATAAGATTATGAATACACGAACATTTAACAAATGCACTCAGGGCGTCATGGACGCACCATCCGGGGGGTGTGTCTTCAGTTTACATAAGAGGGTGGCGCAAAGAACTTACACTATGTGAGTGATGTCCCCACTGCTGCAGATGACTAGAAGATGAATGGGTTCCCTGTGTCATGTGACCAGGGTTCCCTGTGTGTCACATGACCAGACTGACACCTTACAGAAAAGGGATATATCCTTTAAATAGGCCAGCTAGTTGGCACCTAAGTGAACCTGTGCTGTGGCAATCCTGGAGTCAGGCTTCAATGCATGCATTCCTTTACACATTTCATCTGTACGGCAGGGCTGGAGTGCACGAGGAAGAAGCAGGGCACGGAGCCAATCAGTTCTGATTCGGACACTAGGAGCAGGAGAGAGCAGAGTGACTTAGGGATGAGCTCATCACTGTGCTGCTTTTTCTTTTATGGTTCAATCACAGTCAGGCTGGGGGGGGGGTGGTTAGGATGACCTGGGCTCATAGGAAGTGAGTTAAATTATGCTTGCCATCAGACTGAGGAAATCTACTGGCAGATAAAGGTACTGCAGAGGAAATCTCTGCAATGAAGGTGAATATTAACATCGTATTCATTTTGTATCTTGTTAGTTTGGCCAGAGTTCTGTTTTTAGGGTTCAGTCTCCCCAAAAAGGGCGGGACGATGCTCAAGAATGAAGGAAAAGCCGGCTGCACAATGTCAGATTTGATCTGAAAGCTAAGAAGTATGAGCACCAGCCTGAGCAATCCACAATACACCCACACACTGTGCAATTGGTGATCATCTCACTGCTCAGATGTAATACATATAAGGTTATAATTTGGCTGCAAGGCATGCTGGGACTTGTAGTCCCTCCACTGCTGCAGAGCCTCTCCAACCCACAGCACTCACTGACCTGGCGCTTCTCCTCCAGCCATGCCTTATAAGGAGAAAGAGGGCGTGGCCGGCGCCTTCGCACGATCGCAGCCCACCTCCCCCGCCCTCCGATGCGCATTCCGCCACTGACGTCAAGCTGGTGGGCGTCGCCCTTCCCGCGAGAACTGATCTCCGAGTCTCGCCTCCAATCCGCGACCGCCGTTCTCCGTCACGTGGTTTCCGAGGTGGGGCGGAAGTGTATTGTGGGGAGTGTGGTTCCGGTGCGTAGAAGCTACCCGGGGACCCCGGAGAGGACTACAACTCCCAACGTTACCCTCTTTCCTCGTTTCCGTCTGCCCCACCAGATTGATCGTCCTCCCCCCTCCCTTCGGGAGAACCGTCTGCACACCCCAATCATGAGGGATAAACAGAAGAGGCGGAGGGAGCGCACGTGGGCCGAGGCCGCCAAGATGGTACCAAATGCGAGGGAGGGAGGGACTGTACCAAGTACTGGGGGAGGTCTGTGGTGGGGTGTTATGTGTGTGCAGCACAATGGCGGGAAGGGGGGAGG